TATCTGAATGTGGTAAACAACCGGCATTCAAATATGATGTCTAATACAAAAATTTAATTTCTGCAAATATATGGTAATTTCAAAAAGATTACATCACATTATGAAACTAATTTCCGCAAATATATTAGTTGACATGGTACATCACATTATGCAACAATAGATTACAATGGCGACACCATTGACTTCAGGACAGTCAGTACTACCTTGAAGCAACAAAAAGAGTTGGGTGAAATTAATCCCCATCTCTATAAACTAAACGGTAACCCAATTAGTGTTCCAAACCCATAGATTTGAACACACTCCCCTAATACAATATTGAAATCCGGTAAGCCATATGAACATCTGCAAGTAGCATCTCTCACTATGTCCTTCAATATTACCAGAAGCTTCAAATATAAGTTGGAACATATGACGAGATTATAATAATTAACTAAAAAAAAAGACCATCAAGTTTTATGTAGCCACCAAAAAGACTGGGGGGGGCACCTGAAGCATCATATTAATTACTCATGTAAGCAAAATGGTTGCCATAAATTCCATTCCACAAATATGGCAAACCTTACCTTCACCAGCCATACATTCTCAGTTTCAAACATGCTACTGCACAACCAGAAAAAGCAGTCTCCAAACACAAGTCAACATAAGTACCTTTGATCCAAAAATATCCTTATAGATAATTTTTTTGTATTACAAGAAAATCCATTCAACAATCAAACCCACTATCCATTGTGTATATATAACGGCAATGTCTAAGACATGGTAGTGGTAGAGAGAAGTTCACCACAAGTATCAGATGATTCTATCACTGAACAATATTTCATTCATGAAAAGTATTGTGCAGAAGAATCAAAAGCATCACCATCTTTCATAATAGGTTTCAATAGATGAACAAATATAACAGCTTTTAATAGATGAACAAATTTAATATCTTTCAATCAATGAACCCATATAATTATCCGTATGCAACACTAATAATCTAGATTGAGAAACATAAACAGTAATTAATTTCATACCCCTTGGATTCTTTTGCCTGTGACTGGGCATTTTGGCCCACTTGCCCTCTTCTTAGCAGTCTGATACACGAGCTTTCCACCTGCACTCAATCCAAAAGAAAAATGATTCAGAGGGAATCCATATATTCTAAAAAAATATCCAATAAAACCAGAAAGGCCAGTAATAAAAATATGCAATCAAAGGATCCAGGTCAGATCTTAGAGAATCAAAAGAAACAATGCAGCATTAAACCAAAAGAAAATCATCGATTTAAAATGATTACTACTTTTAAATCAGAATAAGATAAAAAAGACACAGAAAGAGATGAAACAAAAAATGCACTATTTAGGTTGGAGACTAAACATTCAAAAAAAAAAAACCTCAGCAACAGACGCAATTTGTAGAACTCCAGTTTAAGCGATCTGAGGAAGCAGAAAATGCAACACACCAAAAACCAATAAACAGAACTTCAATGAAAGCTGCAATTCTCGGAACAAAACAAATGGCAGAATGAACAGAAATAGATTAGACAAAACCCTAAAATGGCAATACGTTATGGTAACATTTAGGGCTTCAGAATTAGGGCTTAAGGGAGAGAAGCTAATGTTTTTTTGCAGAGTACCTGGGGTTTTGACGACCCTGGTCTGGTTCGATTTGGTCGCGTAGCTATGGCGCGTGCGATAGGTGAGCCGCTGCACCATGTTTCCTCCCTCTCTAAACCTTCTCTCTCTTCCTCTGCAACAGAGCAACCCCGAAGTGAAACAGAAGGGTCTATGGCAACGAGAGAGGCTTTTACAAGCCGGAAAACTCTAGATCCGACAGTGAGGAAGTGTTTAATCCAACGGTTGTGATTGATTTTGATTCGATAGACGTAAATAGTCAGATCTGCCCTCTGTTCTTTACAGAATGTCAAAAATATCCTTTCATTTTGTACTTATGAGTTGCGACTTATATATTTTCGTACCTCAAAAATCTAATAAAAAAAAAGAGTATTTAGAAGCTATAAAACCTTCCAATTAATTTTCTCGATCTAAAGATCTACGAATATAAAGAATAATTTTAAATCTTTGAAATAAGAGAAAAGTTTATATAGAACCGAGACTCTAAACAATCAAATTAAAACCTACCTCAAAAATCTTCTCAAAAGATGTTGTTATGATGCCCAAATATCCTCAAAGTGATCATCAACACATCTGGATGCATGGACATAGAAAAAAATGGATTTCAAGTTTTGAAAATAGTGAATTTTGTAACGCATTTTTGGATCGTCAATTTTCAAAATTTTCAAGTTTTTATAGATCTCTCGATCTACACTAATTTTTAATCTTTAAACTTTATAAATAAAGATAAAAATATATTTTAAGACTGTCAAAAAGATTTCCAATATTGAAACCACATTTATTGACATTATTTGAATGTAGGCTCTAATTTTATTGTTTATAAAGCATAGGCTCTATACAAACCACACTTTTAAAATAATATATCTTATAACAAGTTATTTGTAGTGTCTATTTTTAATGTTTTCAAGAGTTTATAGATCTACTCGATTTGGATCGTTTTTTAAATTTTATCATTATGGAAAAAGGAAAAGACTGACTGCTTGCAACTTGTACTAAAAAAATGGACGATTTCTATTTAGGGGAATTCACCATCATTTTTGGTCATGTATACTAATTTATATTTAGAAGTATGTAATTATGATGGGAGAGAGTAGAGTTTGGAAGAGGAGTACAATTTCAATGAGAAATAAACTCTCTTACTTCTAGTTACAAATGAAAATTGGCCATCTAAGAAATTCTTTTTCAAAATTACGATGGATTCTGCTAGGGACTTCAAGTTACAAATGAAAACTGACCATCTAAGAAATTCTTTTTCAAAATTATGATGGATTCTGCTAGGGACTTGTTGTGCCTTGGACATTTGCTACTGTTCGAACTTATGGGAATGAGAATAATGGGCAATATTAACATTTGTTTTCCTACTTCTCTTTCTTGTTAATAATAAACAAAGTTTAATCTGAAAGTACATTTTTGATAAATCTCTAAAAGATAAATATAAAAATGAATTGATATTAAATGATATAATTTAATAAAATTTTTATAATGCTATACACTTTAAAAACAGGAAAAATTATGTAAATATGCGTTTTAGTTTATGTTATTACCAAAATACTTAATACTTTCCATTATTCCTAATATGTCTATTTTTTGGACTTCATAACAAATTTTTTCTTAAAGATGAAACTACCTATTTTTTGTTTTTCGAAAACCAAAAGTTTTTCAAATATCAAAAATTTTAAATTTTCCGTTCTTCAATAACAGAAAAATGTTTTCTCTCTCTTGTGGGGTATTCTCTCTCTATCGACTAATCAAGTTTAAACAGCAAAATTTCAATTTTATCTCTCTCTCTCTTCTCTCTCATAAATTTAACTGACTAACCTCTCTCTCTCTGCATCTATGATGGGCAAACGAGGTCTCAACCTCAACCTCTAATGGCTTCCCTTCCTTTATTTTTCACGCCCCAATGCTATCTCTCTCTCCTCCATTAATGGCACCAACTATCCAACTCGTGCCCTTCATCAGACACCCAATCCTACCCCAACTCAATCTCCCAATACTTTTGCAACCACCTAATCCTGCCCCAATTCAATTTCTCAACACTTTTACTCCCAACAATGTTCTCTTGCCCTGGTTGAAAGACGAATTCGCAGCTGCCAAATGCTATATAGACCCTCTATGCTCTCACTTTCGATTGGTTTTGATAGGTCCTCTCAATATGACTCAGTTTTAGCTTGTATACATCATAGCAAAAATGGAAACCTGAAGGCACAGCCCATGATGCCCAACTTTCGTCAATTCAAGCTCTTTAAGCTAAGGGAATTTCCAGACCAGGCCGAATTCCTCTCTCAAGACTCTGGGTGAAACTTACCCAAAACAAAGACGCTCGATGAAGGGTAGGTAGAGAGAGATCCAAAAAGCCATTTTTACCCATGTAATGCAAAGAAAGAGAGGTAGACCACAATAGAGGAAAAAAATAAATTTTCCTTCTTGAAGAACAAAAGTTTTAAATTTTCACTTTTTAAAAAGTGATTTAGGTTTTTGAAAAACCGAAAAATGGGTAATTTCATTTTTTTTTATAAAAAATGGTTATAAAGTCCAAAAAAACGAACAAATATTCGGTATTTTGATAATAACGTAAACTAAAACGGATATCTACCGAATTTTCCCTTTTGAAAACCATTGAGAGAATGTGTGTCATTTAAATTTTCATTTATTAAATTGAAGTAAACATAAAGTCTGAAAAACTCGTGTTAAAAAATCAAAATAAAAAGGAATAAAATTTTCTCCAAATAAAAGTGAAGTGAACTGAAAAATTAATAACGTAAGAAAAATAATTAAATTGTATACGGAAATAATTAATAACAAAATGAACTCCATAAATAAGAAGATTGATAAATAAGAAGATTGATAGAAAAGCCCGACGTGTATTTAAGTAGATTTAAGAAGAATGATAATATATAATAAAAGTAATGTTAAATTTAATTATTTTATTTTTTGGGTGTCTAAAAATTATTATTTTTCAAAAGTTGAGAACATAAATTATTTCCTAAATTTATATTATCATTGAGAGCTTAACTATTATGTGATGAAACGAAATTAGTAAAAAATTAGAACGTAACAAACATTGTAGAATGCTTTTCAAGTTTGGACAAACATTGTAATATTTATACTACATTATCAAGCCAGAATTAAAGGGTGGACTTGCGTCGGTGAGAATAAAACAAGATCCATATATAAAGATAAAGTAGGGTAGATGTACTAGAAATAAAAAAAATTTAAAAGAAAATAATTACTCTCTAAAAAATTTAGCAAATCCTTATTGTATACGATGATGAAAATAATGAGTTTTAAAATATAAATCACGGTAAAAATTTATTAAATCTGTTAAATACAGTAATCTCACATGCTATTCCAATTTATAAGAGAGAGATATAGCAAGGGAACATCAAGTGTTTTTGTGGAGCTTGAGAAATTCTTATTACTGTTCCAACTTTCGTGTTTGATAAAAGATGAGAACTTCAAATCAAAACTTCAATTTACTGTTCATCTCCTTAAGTCCCTTTGTAACAAAAAAAAAAAAAAAGGTTCTGATCGCAAGGTCGGAACTCAAAATTGGAAGTTCGTAAGTTCCTGTCATTTGATAACCCTACCCTCTTTTCTCTTCTTCCCTGCTGAGCACTCCTCTCTTCGCCGCTAAGCACCCCTTTGTTCGTTCATAGATTTTCCACCGAATAAAGATTTTCGTTCTGAAAACCCTAAAAATCCCCTTCTATTATTCCCTGCGAAGCCAGTGATCCATTTTTCTTCCACAGCTCAAGTTCTTAGTCATGGCATATGAAGATGATCCGTGAGCTCAATTCATTTCACTGATTTTCCCAATTCTTTTTTGCCATTTTTTTCAGCGTGAATTTCCATAATAAGTATTCCTTTTTTTTTTTTCAATTCAGTTACCATGATGAGGATGGAGAGCCATTGATGGATCCGGACATGGGTTCAGAACCAAAAGAAGAAGATTGGGAACGGAGCGATCACCCACGCCAATCATGGATTCTGGTGAAGAAGATGAGCCTAAAGCTAAACCTAGAAAGAGGCTTATAAAGAAGAGTAACAAGGAAAGCTCGCCTGAAAATGATTTTTTTTGGCTGATGAAGTTCAGGAAAATGAGGATTTTTCAGCTGGCAAGTTGAGGGGAAAGGAGGGATCGAGCAACAAGATAAAACCAAAGGAAGAAAGGGTGCAAAAGGTAAAGAATTTGGAGTTGGGTTTATTTTTACATTTTTTGGAGTCAGTGTTTGTCGATAAATTATTGTCAATACTACAAAGTTAGATTGATTGATTTTGTGAATCGTTGGATATTTTAGATAAACGAAGCATTGGGGTTTTGAATTTTAGTTATCTATGAGTAAAATGTGAAACAGAAAAATGCAGCTAGCATTAGTGCACAATTCGGGGATTAAGGTCTGAATTTCATTACTTACACAAAAAAAAAGGTCTGAATTTCATTTCTCTCTAAGTAAGGTTTGATGGCAAAATTAGTCTTTCAAGGTGGGAATTAGGGTTCGAATCCTAGTTATCTTATAAAATATGTTTGCAAAGAAATTTTTGTTTATATTTTGTTTACAATCCATTAGTTTTTAAATCTGGGTATAAGGTTGGAATTTGACTTATCGTTTTCAGTGAAATATGGTCACATTGAAACTCTTGGATATTTGTAGAAATTAAGGATGGAATTGAGTGCCTTTGGTGTTTATGCCCTTGAATCATGGTTTCATGGCTGAATTTATGATGGGATTATAGGTTTTAGTTATTTGAAATGTATATATTTCTGGTGCATAATTACGTTAAAAATTTATGCACATCATCTACTGACCACGACCAACGGTAAAAAATGAAGATGGCTACTGCCTACCACCCCAGGCCCCCAATGTTATATGAATCACCCAGAATTGGCAAAGAAAAACTATTGGATCCACCAAGTGAAAAGGCATTGCAATAATCCAAATCTCCTCATCTTCTATGGACATAACACACAAGTTTGGGAACTCTTATTGGGGAATTGGATTCCCCATGATGCATTATTTGCTGATACTGAGTCAACAAGATGTGATATTTCGGATGGTTTGGGGAATGCTCCAAGCATGTTGGCTTAGAGACCTCCCCTTCCATCCCGATAAGGATTTCAAAAGGACAAATGTCAAATGTATCATCTACTGTCAAATTGCCAGACATCTTTCATTGCTTCATTGTAACTTTAATCTGATTAATACCCTACACTGAAATTACTTGAGTTTTTCCTTCCAAAAAACAAATGCATTTACATTATTCATTATTTTTATTATGGATATCCTAAATCTTATTTGAGTTATTTCTCAAAATTTGGCCTGTTTCTAATGACGGCAGCTCCAACAAGAGTTTTTAGATCGCGGTGTGCTATTTGTACTTAAAAAATTGGCTAGAGCCCCTGCCAGATGGATGTTTGCCCAACATCAATGTCCAAACTGCTTTAGTGAATATCTTAACTGATGTATGCACCTTTTGCACCTCATCATGCTTAAACTTCATTGTGAGGCTTAGTTGTATTTGTTTGAAACATAGGTCTTCAGTGCTAGTTCTATGTGCATCTGATCTGATTGATACATGCTTGTGTTGCATGTATGATACAGTTGCTGATTGATGTGGAGCAGTTTGACTGGAATAACAACTTACAAAAAGTGGCTTGGGGAAGGTTTGCTACCAAACTAGCCTTTTTCACATATCTTTGTAGTTTGTGAATGGAAGTAGTGGGACTAAAATTTGCTTTTGGTACCATGCAAGGTCATTATGTTTTTGTCACGATCTGAAGAAGAGACCACAGCAAATAGGAAGCTGGCAAAGGAATTGGTTGATAAATGGGTATGTCATGGTTCCCTAGTTCATTTGTTTTTACACCTAGAAATTTTGAGGAAATGTTGCTTTCATGATTTAGATTCTTCAGGTGTTTTGCATCGCACACATTCTTTTTTGTCTTCCATCTTGGACGAGTGTGTGGGTGATCTCATTTAGTTAGTGAAATTTTGTTCTTTAGATTGTGTCTTTTTATAGAAATGCACAAACGTTCAGCATTTTGAATGTCTTCAAGAAGGCATTCAAAGTGATGCTGTCAACCACATGCTTCAGTATCTAAAACAAAATGGAACAAAGCAAAATTAAAGGCTCAATTTGGTTTGAGCGTGCATTTTTGCTGCCATATACTGTTATTGTAGCACATGCATCCAAACGCAACTCAGGGCTGTTTTGGGGTAGAGGTGTGCGTGTGTGTACATGTGTTCATGTGACTATCTATTTTGAAGGGTTCAAAGGGCCATATAGTTGGTCCTCTGTGAATAATAACCGTTTGCCTGTATTATGCATGGATTGATGGTGAGTAATACACCTCGAGCTTTTTGGGTATATTGATAAGGTACTCAACTGCAATTTGTTTTGCAAGTTTAGCTGCAATGTTCACACAAATTCAATACATATGGGTGTTTTTCTTACAGGAGTTTACTTATGTGACAAAGTACAGAGGCAAGTCTTTGCTTATATACTTCAATGATTAGAGAAGATATTTGGCACGGATGCTTCAGATTGAAGTAATGTGGAAGGGGGAAGAAATAAGTGTCAATGTCTTCCTCAAGGGATCTCAGCATCTCAAGACTGTCTTCTAAAGCATCTAGTTTGTCCTTTCATTAAAGTTCTATTTGTTGTCTAAATCTTTCTTCTTTCTTTTTTTAATGTTGGTAACATTGTGGGACAAATAACAATGTTGTTTTATTGTTGAATGAGATATATTTTTGAGGTTGGGATATGGATGTATCAGTGGTGAATGTATGTCTAAGTAGTATTCAAGCTATTATAGGTTATTATTGAATGGGCTTTCTTATTGCTTGCATATGGATGCATTCATTGCGCATGTGTGTTTGTATGTTGTGTTGAAGCTATTATAGCACAATCCAATAGAATACAGGAAACCAAACCCACAATTGCCATGGCAGATATGAGTGTGCATGTATGTGTGCACGTGTGTGTGAGGAATAGATAGAGAGCGAGAAAGTTTGTAATCGGTTTAAGAAGAAAGTCGACAGCCTGCTTATGAAATTTAAACACCTATTCCACTTTATATTTGTAAAAAGACTCAACAAATTGTATATTCACAATAGCTAAGAAAATATATTGATTTCTATTTTGAGACTCTACAAATTAATATTCTACAAATTAATAAAATAATTCAATTGATATTGTATTCTAAAAAATAATATTCTACAAATTAATAATAAATAAATAATATCTATATCTCAATTTTAACTTTTTACATCTTGACTATTACTCAAAGCTAATCCAATACAAATACCAGGTTATCAAATACAGAAACCAAAAACTTTTTAAGTAATTTCTAATTTACAGTTCTTCAAGAACTTTCAATTTATGGTTCATGAACTTGCTTCCTGTTATCAAACAAGCCTGAGAGATGGTGAGAATAAGTCAAAGGAAATAGACAGATAAAGTTGACAAGGTTTACAGTGTCAAAAAGAAAATGGATATAAAATATTTTCTTTTAATCTACTTGAGAAAGAATATTTGAAAATTGAAGTTGAAATGGTATTTGGAATAAAGTATTTATACGAGTGCATCTGTTAAGGCCTATTCATATTGATCACATATAAATAAAGTTGGTAATAAAAATGGTATTTTCTACAGAAATAAAATGCCAAATATATGTTATTTTTTAACATTTATTTCAAAATATTCAAATCATACATTTGAAACTCAAATTCTTTAAAACTATAGATGATATTAAATATAGTTTTATATTAAAATTTACAATTAAAAATAAAAAGAATTAATAAATCAATTTAACCTGATGATGTTTTTAGTAGTTATAACATATTATTAATAAAATAATAATGTAGTAATTCATGTATTATCATTTAAAAAGTGAATTTTTTTATTATAAAAACTAATTTTTAAATGAAGTAAAGATATTTGTAGAGGAAAGTTGAAAAGGTTCAGCATGAAAAAAAAAATTAACCTATATAGGAAACAATATTGTAGGGGATATTGGTTTTTTTATTAGTAAATTCAAATATACTTACCATTAGTCTCTTCCAATGTTCCAAGTTAAAGTTAAAATTAATAGCTAGATCCTATAACTCTCTTCCAATTTTCAAGGTAACTCTTTGGATGGTGCAAAAAGGAGAAGAAGTTCCTTGGGAGCATGGTTCTCTATGGTTGCAGTTCATGGTTTTGGTGGAACCTCTGAGAGTCTCTTTATCCCATGCTTATTGTGCAGCTAATTTTTTAGTTGATTCTTTGGCTAAAGGTAGTGCTTCCCTACCGTCTCTTGTTATCTCTTCTAATGTAATTTATTTTTCTTAGTCATTGATAAAAGCTAATAATATTTGTCAAAAAAATTTCAAGGTAACTCTCTTCCAATTTTCTATTTGAAAAGAAAAATATTACAATTAACTCTCATCCAAGTTCAAATGGATCTTGAATTCTACGGTGTTTGAAAATTGAAGTTAAAATGGTAAATGAAGCACCTATACGGGGCATCTATAAAGGCCCATTCACATTCAAAGCATGGGCCTAATCACACATAAATGAAGTATGTAATAGAAATAGTATCTTCTACATAATAAAATGCTAGATGCATGTTATATTTTAATATTTATTTCAAAATATATAGAAATTTTAGGACCATACTGTTAAAAACTCAAACTCTTTAAAACTACATGTTATATTAAACATAGTTATATATATTAAAATCTTAAATTTTAAAAAAGAATTAATAAACTAATTTATTTTGAAGATGTCTTTAATAGTTATAATGTACTACTAATAAAGTAATAACAAAGTAATCATGATTTTTCATGAATATCATAATTAGATGTTTCTAACTATAAATCTTCCAATGTGTGTTTATTTTTATTATAATTTTATTAATATTAATGTAATATTTCATGTATTATGACAATAATAAGCATTGTTTCATTAATTACAATTATGAAAACTATATAGAATTATTAACAATATAATTAAATATTATTAATATACTCAATTAATAAAAATAAAATTTGATAGATTTATTATAATTAATTAAAATTTAAGATAATAATTTAAATTATTATCGTTAATTGTTTTTATAGTAATATTAGAATCAACATTAATAATGTGATCGTAATAGTATAATGAATATTAAACCAATTATGTAAATGTAAATGTAATAAGAATCATAGATAAATATTGCGAATATGTTTCACTTTCCCATTGGAAAATCATTTAATTATTTCCATAGGAAAATTATGAAATTATTTAGGTGATCGCTTACCACATATTAATATATTATTCCATTGCATATTTATACAAAATTATTTATATAAATGCTTGAAACATATCTACATACTCTCGATTATATGTTTATATAATTATTTATGCGATCGGTTATTTCAATGTACCCCTTGATCTCTATCTCCCTGTTTTATTCATTTTTTAACATAAAAATTAGCCCCAATAAACCATTTTATACCACCTCAAACCAAAAATTATTTTATCATTTTTTTCCCTTTCGACCCTATTATATATCCCACTCTCAATTCACCACGTTCCAAAAACCTTTTTTTTTTATTATGTTTTCCCCATTTTCAACCCCTCAAGGCATTAGGTCTCCCACTCTCTCAATTCACCATATTGAGGACTCTCTCTCTCTCTCATATAAGTCTCTCTCATGGAAAAAGAGACTTATCGTGAGAGAGAAAGAGGTGAGTAATTCGTTAGGGTTAGCATAGTGGTGAATTGAGAGAGAAAGCCCTTGCTATAGTGAAGAGAGAACTCACCTTGATTAAATGAGACAGGGGGAGATCTAAGCGGTTGAAAATGGTAAAAACATGGTAAAAAAAAGTTTTTGGGTTAAAGTGGTATAAAATAGTTTTTTGGGACTAACTTGTATATTCAAAAATTGAATAAAACAAAGAACTAAGAGATGCGGGGCACCTTGAAATCTTTAGGGGTTTTTTTATGCTGCTTGAACGTAAAAAAAAGCAAGAGGGTCTACCGTGAAATCAGATGGGGAATTAAGATTGTGAATGAATTTTTTTCAATAAAAAACTCATTTGTAGTCGTAGAGCCGAATCCTCTTTTTTTGTAATTTCTCTCCCATTTTTTGCCCAAAAAACAATCCGCTTTTCTTGTAATTTCTCTCCCATTTTTTGCCCAAACAATATTAAATTTAATCCAAAATGTTGGTGTTAAAGCATGTAAAAAACCTCTAGCAAAATTTTAGAGTGTAGCCATTATTTGAAGAGATGTGTAGTTGAAATTATCTGATATTACCCAAAATAACAAATTTTTGATTCCTCACTCAATGTTGCGCCAAATTTATTCAAATTTGTCCCAAAATGTTTTTAAGATATTGATCTATAAAGTTCTAGCAAAAGTTTTTGAATCAAAACAAAGAATATCGATGTATATCATTTTTTGTGGTTGTAAATATTCCAAAAAAGTTTTTAGTGATCCTCTTATTATGATCCAATGGACCTTGAATCCTTGATTTTCCTCCCACCATGTTGTTTGAAATATCTATTATTCTCTTGTTCTCTTTCTAGCATAGGAGGCCCATGTAAGCAACCGCTATTTAAAGAGGCCAACAACTACATTCTCGTCCTCTAAATTTTTTCAGTCAAATTTTCCATTTGTTTATATAAATCCAATTTACGCCATGAAAGCAACCTCCGATTAAAGAGGCCCACAACTTAGTGCAAGACATTCCTCTTAAAACATTTCAGTCAAAATTTCGGTAGGGAGCTTGGTGTACTCCCACCAGACCACATTGTACATTACTCCCTCAGCCAAAAGATCTAACTAATAGTTGAGAGGATGCTTTTGAAATTCTATTTTGGGATCGACTTTAGAATCACTATATCAACAATTACATCATTTTTTTTACAGAAATTATCAAATTTTATTGTTGAAATTACTCTAGATTTACATCTTTCAGAATTAAAATCAACTAAGAAGTAACCTCTCTTTTGGCCAAACCATCTGCAACACTATTGGCCTCTATGTACACATGATGGAATGATACCGATATCTCAAGTATATCTATCACTTGGAACCATAGTTAGCAAGTGGGGACTTTCAATAAATCGGCCTACCTTAAAATCGGGAAAAATTCATTTTTATTTTAAAAAGTCAGATGAAAAAATCGGATAAAAAATACAGATCGGTAAAAATACTTCATGTAAAGATATAGCCAATATATCGGACTAGGCTCAAGAAATCGGATAAATACATATATAAAAAATACACCATATCAAACGTACTTAAATACATATAAAAAAAATACACCATATAAATTTTCTCATTAAATACTTTAGCAAATATCATACCCACTTAAGTACATACCAAAAAAGATAAAACTTTTTCTTTTTTATCATAAGATGCTTTAACTATGATGTAATAACTTTATAGCTATGGTTAGTGATTAGGATTTATACTTTATATGCATGCTTGCATTTGGGTGGGTTTAGGTCCTCTGTTTATACTTTCTAGAGAGAGAAGGCGTAGAGGAGAAAATGAAAGAACGGAGAACTGCAATAAAATTCGTCGATATTACCATTTTTTTGGCAGAAACCAGGCGTTGAAATTCACGGAATATGTTGATTGAGATTTGAGAGGGAAGGAAGTGATCTCTAAAGCTTTTTTTCTGGCAAAAATGGCCGCCCATGGACAGAAAGACAATGATTTTTATGCAATTTTAGAGTTAAAGAAGGAGTGCTCTACTTCAGATCTCATAAATGCGTACAAAAGGTGCGCACTTGTTAGATTAACGCCCTTCATTTATTTGTTTTTCTATTCACTTAATCATTTTT